TCAAGCATCCTTATTAAAGTGATCTTTTTTTACTAACACCCATGCAGATAAAAAATACATATAGATAAATCTTAAAAATAGAAACAAGATTCATGTCATCAATTTATTGGTTACTGAACTTCAATGATAACATTTTAATCAAAGCAAAAAGTTATGAAGATTTTTCTGTAAGACATTTTTACTGCAGGCAACAATTAAAAAGTGTATTTCATAGTAATTGGTCATCCTACTGACCCCTCTTGGCAGGATATAAGGTTTGAATTGTCCAGTTACAACCAATTACATGGCATGGCTTATTAGATGGACTTGTGCCTTGTAACCAAGAAGGAAACCAAAAGTCATCTCTCATTGTTAAAATGTCTCTACTTCCTAGTCTATGCTGATTCTGCCAATCCTTCTGGTTTTCCGATAGAGGGTTTCAAGATTCAGTTTATTATAAATATTTGAGACATACTAAGTATAGCATAGGGGTGTGCAGAGGTTCTTGGTGCCCTGGCCCTTTCACTTCATTGCTTACCATGTCCAGGCAAAACAGCCTCACTTGCAATTGCCAGCAGCTCGAAGGTTTTCCCTGGAAGCCAGAACCTACTCTGCATGCACATGGGCCAGACCAAGTTACTGGGGAATCCAGAGTTTCCTTCTCTCAAACTAACTCTCAACCAGTAACTGACTGGATACCCTAGCCCCAGCATCTTGGTTCAGATAACTCTGAGGTATGTTGTATATGGCCTCCCAGAGTTCCTAGGTAGAATTAAGATCTAACTTCCCAGTGGCAACTTGCTTGATATACATACTCTTTACTAGCTTCACTGTATTTCTTGCCTCACTTCCCTACTCCCATCACATCTGTAATAAACTATTCACACTCAAATTCTTATCTCTAGGTCTGCTGAGAGAACCCAAACTAAGAGAAGGAAGTATAAAGATGAATACAATAGTGGTTTTATCTTCAAAAAATTCACAATCTAAAACAGGAGACCAATAATAACCAAACAAACGAAAATAACCAAAAAGAAAATATACATTAATTAGCCTCCTTACTCTAAGATGTCATCCTACCTTGTTGCCATCACTGATACTGTTCTAATACTTCCTGGCCAAGACTGCAGCCAAAGGGTAACAAAGAGGGTAGCAGTATAAACTTTTCGAAATTCCATGACAGCTATGGAACAAAAGGAAGAGAAAACCAGAATAAAAAAGTAATGATTTCACTTGATACATGATTTCAAACTATAGCTCCTATAAAGTGAATGTTATCCTGACATTAACCTTTTGACAGTCCATCAATACCCAAGGCAACTATATAGAGAGCAAAACGAAATCAATATTCTGGCCATTACTTGCAACTAGTTTCTGATACACAGGGAGATGATCATTTGCAATGCAACATTAATTTTTAAAAAATCAAGTATTATTGCAGAGCATTTTCTAGAAGGTAACATGTTGTGGAGTGACCGAGTGATCAGGAAGGATAAGGATGAGGAGGATAAGCATTCTTGGGACCAACGGGTGCAAAAGTCCCTGGCATGTTCAAGCAACTGAGTGTAATCATTTCCTGGTTAGATGATTTATCTTTGATTTACTCTCCAAACGTGACCAAATATGACACTGAAGATCAAGTGATTAAGTTGAGACAGGCAAAAGCCAGATCATGTTGGGCTTCATAAACAGTTTAGATTTATGCTGCTTTAAGCCCCTGATGGCATTTAAGGAATGGCTTGTGTAAATTTTAAGATCCCTCTGCTTTTTCCAGAATAGATTGTAGAGCAGAAAAAGTAGACATGGGGAAACCAGCTGGGTGATTATTGTATTAAGTCCTAGTGAAAGATGGCTGGTGGTTTAGACTAATATAAGTGGGCGTAAAGAGATTCTGGATATATCAGGTAAAGTGTTTCTAGGTGAAAGTAACCAATACCCAACCTAAGATGAATTAAATAAGGAAATATGTAGACTTATATTAGAGGAAGCCAAGTGCTCAAGCAGGCTCAATGATATCATCAAAGAATCATATTCTTCCAGAAGTTCTAATCATCTTAACCCTCAAACTGAAAATGGTTATTAGATGACTGCCATTAACAGTGGAGACTACACTTCTTTACTCATATCAAGAGGGAGAGGCTTGCTTTATGTGGCTATTTCAAGAGTCAGAATTCTTGTTTGCTAAATGTCCCTAACCCATTGTTTCACTGACCCACACTTCAAGTCATTCATTCCTCATTCATTTGTATTAGAAATGGAGTTAGGATTGGTTAAAGATCCAGCAGAGCACACCCTAAACTGGGAAGAGTAGGCTTGGCTTGAGTCACATGACCTATGTTGAAAGAATGGATACCCAGGAGAAAAAAAATGGAGGGAATGAATGCTAATTTAGACATGTAGTGATATCAACTACATAGGATATGCTTTGGAGGTGGAGTTGACAGGGTTTGCCAATGGAATGATTACTGGGAGAAGACAGGATTCAAGAACATTTCTTATAGTGTTGGCTTCCACAGTTGAGAAGGTAGAGTTATTTGCTGAGATGGGGAAGACTGGAGGCAAGATTAGGTTTAAGGATAATTAAGGCTTCTGTTTTCATCAAGTTAACTTTAATATAACCATTAAACATTGGAGAGGTGTTAAGAGTTGTTAGGTAAAGGAGTATGAGGTTTCAAGGACAGGCCATGCCTGAGAATAGAGAATAAATAATACACTTTTATATACATATAAATATTAACATGAAGCAACTGAGACAAGATGGAGAGTTATGGACAGAGCAAGAATCGGACCCAAAGCAGTCTAGACTCAGGCCAACATTTAGAGGTGGAGTACAACAGAAGCCATCAAGGTAGCTAGAAAACTTGAGTGCAACTCCCCAGCATCTATGTGTACATAGACTGAGAGTAGCAAAAATTGTTAGCCCTCTGCCAAAAGGGTGGAAGATGTTCACTCTTTCAACTTGCTAAGTGTGGGGCAGAAAGGACATGAGTATCTTTAAAAACTACAGGGTAGCCCTGGCCGGTTTGGCTCAGTGGTTGGAGCGTCGGCCTGCGGTACAGAGAGACCCGGGTTCGGTTCCCGCTAAGGGCACGTACCTCGGTTGCAATTTGTCCCCGGCCCTGGTTGGTTGTGCGGCTGGCAGCCACTCGATGTGTCCCTTCACATCGATGTTTCTCTCTCTCTCTCTTCCTCTCTCTCCCTCCTGCTCTATCTGAACAAAAAATGGAAAAATGTCCTCGGGTGAGGATAAGAAAAAAAAAACAAACAAAAAACTACAGGGTAGATCATGACATGCCATAAAAAGGCATTACTAATACACCATACAATCTTTTGAAAAAGAGCTGGTTCATTTTCATAGTCTTCTAAATTAAACATTTAGTGGGAACAGGATGAAAGGACATGCCATCCAATGACAACAATTCCAATCCAAGGCCTGATGAAAAATGCTGAACATTATTACATCTACAATTTGAATTCAAAACTACCTCAAATGGAATTGATTACGGAAAATTACAAGGGAAAAATCCTGGATTCAAATCTATATCTGACACCTGTTAGCTATGCAACCTTGGAACTTTCACTTCCTAACTTTTCTCTAAGACTCAGTTTTCTATTTGATGAAATATTTATAATAATAAACAAGTCCTCCCTGCATGTTTCACAGGGTCATTATAAAGATCAAAAGTTAAAGAAATCTATTAACTGTAAAATCCCATAAAGATAATGTTCTTCAGCTGCCTGACTAGTCTCACTTTCTACCACTGATGTGCTTCATCTTGATGCCAAATACCAATTTTCAGGTACTCAATCCTTAACAAAGGAAACCATTTAAATTTTGAAATTTCTTTAAGGACAAGAACACTGGCTTTAAGTAAAGATAACCCACTAAAGCTCCTGTCCAATTCCTACAAGGTTTCAAAATTGTACCTCACCAATGTAAAAGTCACATGAAGTGGCCATCCCTCAAGGTAATCCATGGTCTAAAGACAACCTTATAATCACTGACCAGAATATTGAGAAAATAGCCATCAAAATTTTTTTTTCACATGCTATATTAGCATGTCTGCCTGTACTTCACTATATGATTACAAAAACATATGGTCTTTTACACTTCCCAAAGTTCTTTCTTACTTTTTATTCCATCTGATTGATGGTAGTACTAGTAGTTCTGTCAGGTAGGCATGGCAGATTTATGCTTGTCTTAGGAGAAAAAAAATGTATGTTCAAAAATAATTGTGAGGCATAAGTTAATTTTTAGGTGCCCAACTCCTGTTTTGGTGTTAATACATCATGTTAAATAAATTTTACATTTAAATTACTCAACAGTACCAGTGATTCTACTTCTAAATGGGTACACATTCAAGTCTGAAAATATTCCTAATAAAAACAATAGCCCATTCTAAGTTTTATCAGAATCATTTACCAACCAAATTAAATCTCCCATTCAGAAAGTAGGTATGGCAACAGTACTAAATATTATATAGTATGTGAGAATATGTACATGTTAACAAAGTATCTTGAGCCCAATTCCCCAATTTTCACAGAGAACATCTTTCACAGGACTGCAACCAAGCCTCTTTGGATTTAAAATAATAATACTCTATCAACTATTATTATGAATATAATGACTCTGTAACTAATTAGCAATTTAAAATGATTAATATTTTAAAACACAAGTTTTGAAGGGTCACTTTAAAAATATGAAAAGAAAAAAAAATGTTGCCTAAGCTTTAAAAATACAGATGAGAGATTAAGCTGAAATGCAACTTGAAAGAAATCTTATAAATAAGACTAATATTTAATTGACGGGGTTTAAGTACTGAATGCGGGATATGAATTCTACCCTCAAATCATTTAACCTCTCTGAACCTGTTAACATTTAAAAAAAAAATCTTAATAGGAAATTTTACTATCACTATATAAGTCCTGGAAAATCATGAACAGTATGAAAAAATTATTAGAGGCAAAAACCAAGACTTCTGAACCAAACCAAAATTAGATGAAAACATTTATTTTTTTGTATTACGAAAGCAAAAAGAAAGCCAAGCAAGTAATGAAATAAACATTTTTCAAATGTTCCATCCTGGATTGTGTGTCCTAGAATTTAGTAACAGTTCAACTTTAGGTTGCTTCAATACTTCTTCTGGATACTATGAGGTCTCCATCTTGTAGCCATGTTTCTCTAGTTCAGCTCTAAAACAAAACACAAAAATACAACATCACTAGATATTCTTTATGATAAATTAAAGAAACAGGTGTTTTTTGAAAATAATAGAATAAAGAGCAGAATGAGCTAAATCTAGGCACAATTTAAAATACTACCAGATAACTTTACTTTAGTCCCTAAAAAGAAATCTATATAAGAAACTGGATGTGAAGCAACATAATGCTAATAAAATTTCAATTTCCCACTAGTAAACTTATATTTCATATTCCTAAATTTTCTGATAAATCTATTTACAGAAGAAAAGTAAGACATTTACTGCTATCTTACAAATACCATACAAACGTTCTGTTAATAATAGTTAAACAAATTCCAAGAATCATTAACCATATGGTTAAGACACTGGTATCAAGCTTTTAAGGATTTTATATTCATAACAGGTATTACTATTACCTACATATAAAAGATAAAACAGATTGCTTTCCATATTTACATATATCTGTTGAGCTAAGCAAGACAGAAATTATAAATCAAATTTAAGGTGTATAAGAATTATTCTGCGTTAACTATATGTAGGCAAAATAAATATGTTATAAAGTATTAAATGAGACTTTACTTTCCTAATTTTAAATGTGAATAAAAATCTCAAGAAATTATATAGGAATAAATACAAACTCTTTTTAAAAACACCTTTTATCATTTTAAATGATTTATTCAACATGAAGTTTCAGTTACACTTCGAAAATGTCAATTGCAATTGTTGATCAGCCTTATATAAAACATTTCCACAAAAAAGTTCAGCTCTGTAATGAATTTCAGCTATTTAAACTACCACTCCACATATCACCAGCACTTTACCTGCCACAATTTAGATTTTATAATAGTTTACCATAAAATTATTTGAGGGCCACTCCATGATAAAACATTATTCAAACATAAAGTATAATTAATATGTCCTACATCATTACATCCAGTAAGACAAAAGCATTTGTTCTCAAGTATAATATAGGTTAGACACTATCATACTATCCAATATAAACACAATATAAAAAACACATGTTGGGCTCAGCCAGTATGGTTCAGTGGACTGAGCATCATTCCATGGACTGAGAGGTTCCAGTTCAATTTTCGGTCAGGGCATATGCCCGGGTTTTGAGCTCGATCCCCAGTGGGGGGCGTGCAGGAGGCAGCCGATCACTATTTCTATCTCACAGGGATTTTTCCATCTCTCTCTGTCTCAAAATAATCAATAAAAACATATTTTTAAAAGCAAACACGTGGTGGGAAAAATATATAATAATTTATCATTCAATTTCCCAAGCTCCGTCAATTCCTTAAATTTTTTAGTTATTTATAATATAAATATTAACCTAAAGTCCATGAACAATATTAAGGCCAGCGATTATTCATATGAATCATCTTTTTTCTGCTCAGGTGTAGAAGGAGCTGGAGTAAAATGCTAGATTAGTAGGAGTCAAAAGATCACCAGCACAAGTATCTGACTCTACCCTTTCCTTTGTTAAAGTTAATTAAAAAGCTTCTTTTAGCCCTCTCACCAATAAAATTGAAGACTTAATACCTGTCCATCATATGTTTCATATTTAAAATAAAAATAATTTTAAAAGTTTCTCAAACAATAGTTTTCTGCTGCCTTTAACAAAATCAAGTGTACATTATCCACTCTCTTTTTAAAAATATTTTTTTCTTTCTTGATTTTTTTAGAAAGAGAGGAAGGGAGCGGGAGAGATAGAAACACTGATGAGAGAGAACACTGACTGGCTGCCTCCTGCATGCCCCCCACTGGGGATTTGGCCCACAACCTGGGCAATATGCCCTGACCGGGAATCAAACTGGTGACCTCTTGGTGCATGGGGCGACGCTCAACCACTGAGCCACATCGGCTGGGCACTTTCTCTCATTTTAATAATGACAAAAAACAAAAACAGATAAACAAACAAACAAAACGGTTTCACGTCCTAACAGGAGGTGGTAACCAATTACATTTATAAATTGTTTACAAATACAAAAGAAATAACGACATATTTCTCCATTAGCTAAATTCTTAGAGAAGTTGAAAACTTCTTTTCTAGAATTTAGGATATATAAGAAATCAAAATACAAATATATCAAGGCCACTAAATACAAAACACAACAATATGAAAACACTAGTATAGGAGCCTGTAAAATGGAAAAATCCAGCAAAGAGAAGAAATGGGACACACATAATGAATGTACACTATTTGAAACAAAAAAAGCAGCAGTCCTTTTACAACAAAACAAGAATAAGACTAATAGTCACTAGTAAGTTTGGGAATTCCTCCTACTGTCCAAAAAAACTACTCTGATACATATGGCTGTATCTGACACAGTAAACCAGACAGTATAGTTTTTATGTAAAATGTGATGCAGGATCAGGAAAATCTGATAATTCTACCTACTTCTGATATACAGAGAAACAAATGTATCAGAAACAGCAAAAAAAGAAGGACTTTTAGTTACTTGGAGACACAGATTGACTTATTCTTTCTTCTACTTGTTAAAGGCAATTACACTAAACAGAAAGAGAAACATGAAAAGTGGGATTCTATGTCCTTGCTGAGATATATGGTGTTGGAACTCAAGAAATATGATTGACTCTAGAGTATAAACTGCCTCTCAAAATTAGATGTGTTTAGGACACAGTATCAGAAAAGAGAACACATGTCTTTTTTTTTTTTTTTTTTTTTTACCGTGGTTTACATACGATACCACATTAAAAGCCTCAATACCTTTTATAGACTAGGAAGAGTATCTCTGCTGGAGACCTGTTAATCAAGACAAGTTTTTTAAAGCAGAAATATAAATATTATCTGAGGCTGTGCTGTCCGATATAGTACTTGCACATGGCAATTTAGTAAAATTAGTTCATTAAATGTAGTACATTAGCTGCGCTGGCCATATTTCATGTGCCCAACAGCCACATGTGACTAGTGGTTCTGTATGAGATAGTGCAGCTTATAGAACTCTTCCAACACGTTACAGTAAGTTCTATTTGACAGTACTGGTGATGTATCAACAACCTTATGAGGAAAAATACTCATGCCTGAAACAGGAAAATTTAAAGAAATATCTTATTCACTAACAGAGATACCAAGATTTATACACTTACGAAAATCCACAAACCTAAATAAAGGTAGAAACACAACAGGGAATATAAGAGAACTGTGGAAGTGTATTATAAAAACAAGCCACAAAGAACATATGGATAATATTCTACTTCCAAACCAGTAAAAAAGGCAAGATATAGTAGTGACAAGAAATCCAATTATCAATACATTTACTAAAAATCCCCAATGAATTCATAGTATTCAATAATGTTTTAGCCCTGGCCGGTCTGGCTCAGCAGTTAGAGCGTTGGCCTGTGGACCAGAGTCCCGGGTTCAGTTCCAGCTAAAGGCACGTACCTCAGTTGCAGTTTGTCCCTGGCCCAGGTTGCGGTGGTGTGGGTGGCAACCAGTCGATGTGTCTCTCTCACATCGATGCTTCTCTCTCTCTCTCTTCGCCCCTCTCTTCCTCCTGCTCTGAGGATAAATGCAAAAAAAAAAGTCCTGCGGTGAGGATTAAAAAAAAAGTTTTAATTTTTGTCTTTATTGATTTTAGAGAGAGAGGAAGAAAGAGGGAGAGACAAACAGAAACATCAATTAGCCACCTCCTGCATGCCCCACATTAGGGATCTGGCCCACAACCTGGGCATGTGCCCTGACCAGGAATTGAACTGATGACCTCTTGCTGCATGGGGCGATGCTCAACCACTGAGCCTTGTCAGCCAGGCTTGATTTAATTTTTAAGAGAAAAGTGCTACTTTCTAACTAATAAAAGATAAAGAAAAAAACACTTTCAAGAAATTTGACTTATTTGAATAGCAAAGGAAGAAAACCCATTTAGCTTCAACTTTAAATTTTCAAGAAGAAAATAGATAAAAGACTAAATGTAAGTGCAAAACCATAAAAATCCTAGAAGATAATATAGATGACAAACTCCCAGACATCTTTCATAGCAATAAGATATATCTCTTTAGGCAAGGGAAACAAAGAAAAAAAATAAACAAATGGGACTACATCAAACTAAAAAGAATATACACAACAAAAGAAACAAAAAAGTGAAAAAGGTAACCCACTGCATGGGAGAACATATTTGCTAATGATACACCTAATAAGGGCTTAATTTCCAAAATACATAAAGAACTGTTATGTCCAGCTGATGTGGCTCAATGGTTGAGTGTCGATCCATGCACCAAGAGGTCGCCAGTTTGATTCCTGGTCAGGACACATGCCCAGGTTGTGGGCCCAATCCCTAGTGGGGGGCATGCAGGAGGCGGTCAATCGATGTTCTTGCTCATCAATGTTTCTCTCTCTCCCTCTCACTTCCTCTCTAAAATCAATAAAGGAAAAAAAAAAAGAACTTTTACAACTCAACACCAAGAAGACAAAAAGTCCTAAATAAAAAATGGGTAAAGGATCTGAATAGACACTTCTCCAAAGAGGACATTCAGATGGCCAACAGACATATGAAAAGATGCTCAAAGTCACTAATCATCAGAGAGATGCAAATTAAAACCACAGTAGGATATCACCTCATGCCTGTCAGAATGGCTATCAGCAATAAATCAACAAACAAATTAAGGCAAGGATGTGGAGAAAGGGAAACCCTCATGTATTGTTGGTAGGAATGTAGATTAGTGCAGCCACAGTGGAAAAATAGTATGGAGTTTCCTCAAAAAATTAAAATGGGCCCGGCCAGTGTGGCTCAGTGGATTGAGTGAGCGTCACCCCATGGATTGAAAGTTCCTGGTCGGATTCCTGGTCAGGGCATATGCCCGGGTTTTGGGCTTGATTCCCAGTAGGGGGCATGCAAGAGGCAGCTGATGGATGCTTCTCTCTCACATTGATGTTTCTCTCTCTCTCTCTCTCTCTCTCTCTCTCCCTTCCTCTTTCTCTAAAAAAAATATATATGTATCAATAAAAACATTAAAAAAAAAAAAAAAAAAGCAACTACCATTTGACCCAGTAATCCCACTTCTGGGAATATATCCTAAGAAACCCCAAACACTAATTCAAAAGAATATATGCATCTCTATATTCACTGCAGGGTTATTTACAATAACCAAGATCTAAAAATAGCCCAACTGCCCATCAATAAATGAGCGGATAGAAAAACTAGGGTACATCTAAATAATAGACTACTACTCGGCCATAAAAAAGAAGAAAATCTTACCTTTTGCAACGGCAAAAGATCTGGAAATTATTATGCTAAGTCTAAGTGAAATAAGTCAGTCAGAGAAAGACAAATACCATATGACCTCTCACTTATCTGTGGAATCTAATCAACAAAAGAATTTAACAAACAAAACAGAAACAAAAGCATAGATTTATAGAACATACTGACAGCTGTCAGAGGGGAACGGGGTTGGGGGGCTGGGGGAGGTAGAAGTGGGCAAAGGGGAGATAAATAGAAACAGAAAGAGACTGGACTTTGGGGGGGGGTGAGTGCACAACACAGTATGCACACAATGTTTTATTGAGTTGTAAACTTGAAACCTGTATGGTTTTATTAACCAAAGTCACCCCAATAAACTCAATATAAAACATTTCAAGAAGATAAAAGAAAACACTGTTATACAACTAAGAACACAGAATAGTGACCAACAGAGTCAGAAGGCCTGAAAATAAATACTGTAACAGCAGAAAGGGGGATGCATATAAAAAATAGGTAGGAGGATGTTCTCTGAGGTGGCTCCGTTTTAAAAGGATTGCACCAAAAAGAGTGGCAAGAACTGATATAAATAGAATTGATTTAATCACAGAATGGACTGAGATCTGTAAAAAGAACAAAAAGGGCTTTTGAGAGCTTTATATGAATAAAGAAGAATAAGAAGAGATAGATCAAATGCCTGGAATAGTTAGTGTAATAATTAACAGATTTTAGAGGGAAAGCAGGATTATTGTTCAACAGCTACTGTTCCTATCTTGTCCATAAAACTGCAAATGAAAAAACATCATTAAGACAAAATTGAAAAGACAGCTCCATAATGCATTACAGTAGTTTAAAGTCTCAAGGCTCTGAATAATTACATCTCAGGGTACTGAAAGAACAAAAAGATACAGTCAAAAATAAGAGTCAGCAATTCTGAGATATCATGGAAATTGTACAAGTACCAGAATAACAGTGAAAGGTAAATTGGAGAAAGGGGAGAAAGGAGATGGGTACAATTTATATTAATCTCCAGAATAATACTAAAATTGATGTTAGTCTCCAAAATACTAAAAAAGACTTCACCTTGTAGGGTTTTAAGCCCAATTAAAAAAAAAATGTAGTGTAGAACAAAAGCTATATCATAATTAAAAATATATTTTAAAATTGTGTTCTAAATTATCTCACTTCCTTTTTGAAGAAATGCACTAGACTAGAAAAGTAGAGGATTGCAACAGAACTTTCATGTCTTGATTTGAGCAAAGTATGTGACAGTCTACTTAGATATCTTTGGGGTGAAGACAGACACACATGGGTTGAATCAAAACACAACTGGATATTCACATGCAAAAGAATAAAGCTAAACCCTTACCTTCACAATATATACAAAGGTTAAGTCAAAATGGACTGAAAATTTAAATGTAAGAGCTAAAAATTCTAAAACAGAACATAGAAATACACTTTCATAACCTTAACTTTGTCAATAAATTATTTAAAAGTAGATAAACTAGCCCTGGTCGGTTTGGCCCAGCGGTTAGAGCGTTGGCTCACCCAAAGAGTCACAAGTTTGATTCCGGTCAAGGGCACGTACCTCAATTGTGGTTTGATTCCTGGCCCTGGATGAGGTCGTGTGGGAGGCAGCCAGTCGATGTGTCTGTCTTACATCAATGTTTCTCTCTCCCCCCTTTCCTCCCTCCCACTCTTATCTGAAGATAAATGGAAAAATATCCTCGGGTGAGGATTAAAAAAAAGAAAAGTAGATAAACTCAACTTCACTAGAATTAAAAAACTTTTGTGCAAAGAACACTATGAAGAAAGTGGAAAGACAACCTAACAGAATGGGAGAAAATATTTGTAAACAGTTATGTCTGATAAGGTCCCAGTACCCAGAATACATAAAGATCATGTACACCTTAACAACAAAAACAACTCAACTTAAAAATGGGCAAAAGACTTGAACAGATATTTCTCCAAGATATATAAATGGCCAACAAATACAAGAAAAGAGCTCATTATTAGTCATTTGGGAAGTATAAACTCGAAACCACAATGAGACAAATACCAATTCACATCCACTAGGAGTTATAATACAATAAAATACAATACAAAATAAAAAAAAATTAACAAGTTTTGGTAAGAATGTGAAGAGATTACACACATTGTTGGTTGTAATGTAAAACTGTTCAGCTGCTGTAAAAAAAGTTTGTCAGTTTCTCAAAAAAGTTAAAAGAGAATTATTATATGACCCAGCAATTCTACCTCTAGGATTATATCCCTCCAAACTGAAAACATGATTTCAAACAAAAACTTGTACATGAACGTTTATAGCAGCTCTATTTACCACAGTCATAAGCTAGAAACCACCCAACTGTCCCTCAACTGATAAATGAATAAACTAACTATGGCATACCTATACAATGGAGTATTTATTCAGTCATAAAAAGGAATGAAGTACTGATACTTGCAAAAACCTGGATGAACTTGAAAACATGCTAAGTGAAAGAAGCTAGACACACAAGATCATTGACTGTATGATTCACTTATATGAAACATCTACCACAGGCAAATCCATATACAGAAAGCAGAATAGTGGTTGCTGGGGGAAAAGAGGAATGCAGATTGACTGCTTAATAGGTATGGTATTCCCTTTTGGGGTGCTGAAAGAAAATGTTTTGCATTAAATAGAGATGACGGTTGCAGGACACTGCGAATAAACAAAATGCCACTACACTGTACAATTTAAAAAGGATAATTTTATATTATATGAATTTCACTTCAGTCAATCTAATACGGCAGATTTGTACATGAATGTGAAAAAGTACACTCCCATCACCCCAATCTCCATTCCAGGTGGAGAATCACCAATCTATTGGGTCCTAGCACTCTACAATTCTAATTTCTCCTAAGTTATTCAATATTGGCAGAAAACTAACTTCAACAGAATTAAACCCACAAGGATAAAAAATAGCAAATATGCTTCTATTTAACTACTTTTGTAAAAAGCCTAAAAAAGAACAAAAGTTCTAGGCAATTACACAAAGTATTCATGTTTAGAAACACAAGAGATGAAGGCAATGTCTTAATTTTCATAACCCAAAAACATATTTCAAAGATTAATTATCTTTTAAGAGCTAGATTATCATATGTAGATGACATACAGTATTCTATGCTTACAATTAATACTAAGTTATATAAAAATCTGGCTTAAAGCTTACCGTAACTGATTGGAGAAGTCATCTTCTACATTGTCATCATCCCAATTATCCTCCCAGACATGTGCATCTTCATCTTCATCTAAACCAGTCCAATCTGAAAACAGAAACAGATGCCGTTGAAATAGTTCTCATGTATTATTTCCATAAACACAAAAACTTCAGAAACTTTGCCACTGAAGACTAACAATTCAAAAGATTTAATACCATATATATGAGAAATGGTCATCTTCCTATTTAAATCTCAAGGCTGTCATGTATATTCCCTCAACTCTTAAATCTGCAGATAATATAAAACAGAAGTTAACATAAAAAATTGTTTGCCATGAAAATTTGTTATAATTTCAGGAGGATATTCACTTTCCTGATTTTTCCTTGGGCTAATTTTTATTTATTTTTTTATCCTCACCCAAAGACATTTTTCCATTTTTTGTTCAGATAGAGCGGGAGGGGGAGAGAAACATCGACGTGAAAGGGACACATTGAGTGGCTGCTGCCCGTACAACCCAACCAGGGCCGGGGACAAACTGCAACCAAGGTACGTGCCCTTAGCGGAAACCGAAGCTGGGTCTCTCTGGACTGCAGGCCGACGCTCTAACCGCTGAGCCAAATAGGCCAGGGCCTTGGGCTAATTTTTATAAGGTCTATTTCATAATCTTTTTTTTTTTTTTTATCCTCACTTGAGGACATTTTTGCATTTATCTTCAGATAGAGCAGGAGGGAGAGAGGGGCCACAAGAGAGAGAGAAACATCGATGTGAGAGAGACATATTGACTGGTTTGCTACCCACATATCCCCAAACGGGTCCAGGCACAAACTGCAACTAAGGTTGGCACCCTTAGCGGGAACTGATCCCGGGACTCTGGTCCGCAGGCTGTAACTCTAACCACTGAGCCAAAATGGCCAGGGCTATTTCATATTCTTTTTCTTTTTCTCCTCACCCAAGGACATTTTTCCATTTTTTGGTCAGATAGAGTGGGAAGGAAGAGAGAGAGAGAAACATCAACATGAAAGGGACACAACCAGTGGCTGCCTCCCGCACGACCCAGCCAGGGCCAGGGACAAGCTGCAACTGAGGTACATGCCCTTAGCGGGAACCCAACCCAGGCCTCTCTGAACCGCAGGCCAACGCTCTAACTGCTGAGCCAAACCAGGAAGGGCTATTTCATATTCTTTTAAAAGATAGCTCTAACACTAGGCAAGTTGAGTAACAGGAAGATACCAGCCTGACATTCAAAACTGCTCAATATAAAAAAAGGTAACTCATACAGGTAATAAAAAGTACACCAAATATTTTCTTAAACTTGATTGCAAAATTGTTTTAGAGGATAATGTCTTTATTATTTAAGACATGCACTTTGAAATATTTAGGAGTCAAATGTTATTTTGTTGGCAGTTTACTTATAAATTGTTCTAAAATATATATATTTGATATATATCATATATTATATACACGATAGAGATAAAGCACACATGACAAATATTAACTGATGAAACTTAGGTGTTTGTTGCCCTCTTCCTAAAATTGAGATATAATTAACATATAACATTATATTAGTTTTAGGTGTACAATACAATGATTTGATATCTGTGTGTTGCAAAATGATCACCAAGTCTAGTTAACATCATTATAGAGTTACACTATTTTTCTTGTGATGAGGACTTTTAAGATCTACTTTCTTAGCTAAAGGAGAATACTGGGAGGCATCTTAGCTACTCTTTCTCTTTCAACTATCACAATCATAAACCATGTCCTTTCCAACTTCCAACTATCTCCAGGGTTCATTCTCCGTCTCCGTATTCTTACTGCCACTATGTTAACTGAAGAGTAATTTTTCCCTTCACGGACTATTCTGTGGTCCTCTATCTGTCCCCTTCCTCTCCAATCTTACATAGTATATACCCACCCTCCACTGATGCCTAAAAGAACCACTGCCCTTCCTGTGGCTAGTATTCAAAATCTTCAGGTAGGAACCACATTTTATTAAATTTGTTGGACACACAGTAGAAATTTAATAAAATGTTGTAGTTCCATTCAGAAACTACATTTCTCAAGTTCCCTCTCTCAGGGTTGGTCAGTTTGAGGAAAACAGATGCTAGTGATGATTTCACTAAAGCCAAAATTATATATTTCAAGATAGAAGATATCAACAATATCATGTATTACGAATGAGTTATGTAAAATTCTCAATTGTATTTAAGACTGCTTTTGAGAAATGTGATCACCGCATTCAATGCTCCCCTAAGAGAGACCATGTGGGAACTATCTTTAAGACTACAGTGCCTAAAAAGATGAAAAGGTTTCCCTTGGGCAATTTGTTTCAGGTTGCTAAAAAGCAACAACATACAGTCAAATGTATGTCTAACTTAAACCAGTGTATAAGGTAGTGAATGTATATTCATTAGTAAAGACTCTCAATAAAAAAAAAATTAATTTTTACCTGCATAAATTTTCTTATATCCTAGTATTATTATTCTCAAAGAGGAAATATTGCGATTACCTAAATTGAAATCCTATACTATTATTCTCTGAGGTCCTTAACAATAGTAATACTCTATAATGGTAAGTACTAATTACATCTCGAAATTAAGTTGACTGGGCTAAATATATCCTTACATTTTCTCCTTTTTTTGCAGAAGTACCTTAAAGCTCAAACTGAAAATTTTTGTTTGTCAAACTATATATTTTTTAAATTTATCTTTATTGTTCCAAGTATTACAGTTGTGCCCCCTTTTCCCCCCACTGACTCCTTCCACCCTCCTCCCATCCACCCCTCCCAGGCCTAACTATATTTTTAATGAGAGTAGATTAAGAAGTTAAAGAAATGGAAATCATATTTAGGATTTTCCTCAGTCTATAAGAGTGATCAGACAGCTACTGTAAATCAGTTTAATAGATATAGCTATTCCCAAAGCTAAACTGAAAGAATAACATTTCTGCACTTTCATAGACTAGAAAAGTTTCTTAGTTAAACCAAGGGTTAATCATTACCTGTAGGGACAAAATAGTACCATTACTCTCATAGTGCCATTGCAATAAGTAATAAACTGTTTACTATGTACATTATAAAATTATATATAAATTTTCTTTTTTTTGTTCTTCTAAAAATAGAGAATCTCAATAAAAAAGAAGTGAACTATTCTAGGGTAAAAATAAATGGGGCAGAAAATGCAGTATTAAGTACACAAGAGAGAGAGACATTAAGAAAAGGTAGTATGGGGTATAGACTAAGATCAAATTTTAAATATCCAAGGAGCCTCATTTTAAACAGTAGATATATTTCTCTGTAATACTGTATCACCAAAAATCAACTAAATAAATTTAATTTTTAAAATTAAATGAAGTTCTTCAAATAATCTCAAACACATCTTTTATATAAACTTAGATTCCTGTATGTTGAAATTGTAATGAAACAACTAAATCCATTATCCCTTTTACAGCAAGTAAACAATAACCACAATACTATCCTTCTACATTCCTCCACTATAATCTAGAGCTTTGCAGCTATCTAATAGTATTAATGGACAACTTAGGATTTTTTTGTTTATTTTGTTTTATTTTAAGCCCTGGCCGGTTTGGCTCAGCGGTTGGAGGGTCGGCCTGTGGTACAGAGAGACCTGGGTTCGGTTTCTGCTAAGGGCATGTACCTCGGTTGCAGTTTGTCCCCGGCCCTGGTTGGTCGTGCGGGTGGCAGCCACTCGATGTGTCCCTTCACATCGATGTTTCTCTCTCTCTCTACCTCTCTCTCCCTCCCGCTCTATCTGAACAAAAAATGGAAAAATGTCCTCGGGTGAGGATAAAAAATAAAAAAATAACATTAAGGCCTTCCATATAAAATAGGCACATAAAACTATTTCATTAAACTGCATTGTAGCAAGGTTTGGCTTTATACTTCAAGTTTTTATAAAAAAGACTGAGGACTATTTAAAATTAGAGGATTTTAGTGATAGAAAAAGCCTTAGAGATCAGTATAGATAATATCCCTTTGTTTGAAAACCACCACCATTAGCACTACCAATAAAAATAGAGAAAATAAAGACTGTCTTACAAGAAAATATTAACTTTTCCTATCATTATTTCATGACATCAAATCCTAGACTCTAAATATGATATTTGGGACAAGCCTAGAAATAGAAATTGTCAAATTAAATATTTGTTTTACTGATATTTTAAGGAGTCTTCCTTTTCCCCTTTACTGATTTTAGAGAGAAAGGAAGGGAGAGAAAGACAGAAACATCAACGAGAGAAAGTATCGACTGGCGGCCTCCTGCATGCCCCTCACTGGGGATTTGGCCCACAACCTGGACATGTGCCCTGGCCGGGAATCAACTAGTGACCTCTTGGTGCATGGGTCGACGCTCAACAGCTGAGCCGCACCAGCTGGGCTAAGGAGGCTCTGTAAAACTATCTAATGGAGTTTAACGTTCCACAAGATCACCGGAATTCATTAAGACTGGATAATACATTCTTGAGTAAAGGGGTTGACATAAATCACAACTGAATTGTGTTAAAGTTCTAAGACACCAAACCTCACATCAGCCTGAACAACTTCTAATTGATCAGCTTTCTAAATTGTTAACTAGGTGGTTTCCATCTGCACTGGTCCTTAAAAAGGAAATGATAATGTGTCAAGTGATTCAAGTTAGAAATATAAAATAATAAAATTTTTTTTCACATAATCTTTGCTAATCTTGGAAACTTACCTTTTCCAGAATAGTAAAAATACAGGCCCCCAGCAACTTTAATCCAATTATGACTTGGGTCAAGACACATATTTCAATATTGTTATTAGTTGATATTCAAATGTCAAGCTAGTTTTAATTCTTTTAACTTTGGGAGACTAAAGAAACACACTTGTTAATTTGTACCCAACTGCTTCAAAGAGGCAGAAACATTATATATTCCATTAGTTGTTTTTTTTTATAGGAGTCCCAATCTTTAATTACAAAAGGGACATACTAAAAGAGATAACTAGTTTCAACAGTCTTTTTTAAATTTCAAGAATGGTACAATTTTTAATTTATTGAGCTGAATTCTAATGATCATTTAGCATAAGGATAAAGCAGCTATCTCATTCCTCCTTTAACAACCACCTC